TATCGGCTGAAACAATCTAAAATCTACAAGATCATGTTTTTTTTTTATACAGTCTATAACACGAGAGAAAATTAGTTCTTGAAACATTCTTTCTAATTAGAATTAATATAAACGATTATATTTATATATATATTTTTAAAGCTGGGGACTTGAACCCAACTGTCAACTTTTAAAGTTTAATTTACTGGGTGGTTATAATTAAAGTTCAATTTGAAATGGTCAAAAGGAAAACTAAACCGGACCAAATGTTAACAAACTTGGATCGTGTAAGGAGGTGTAGGGAATTTATTGTTCCATCCCGCGGAAAAAAAAGAGTTCAAAACTCACCACCAAGGGGAAAATAGGCGTCTGTCTACACATTGTTTAAATGAAATAAGACACACGAAACATCTGTTTTAAAATGCGTTTAATATTTTCGCGAACGTGTTACAACGCAATGTTTCAATTACGTCCGCATTTTTCCGAAGCAAGTTAAATCATGTTACTTGCATCTCAACAGCGCTCTTAGCATATCAGTTTTGGTTGGTTTTGTTATTAATTAACGGCAAAGCCCTCGATGGCTAGCTGCCCTTAAGGAGGGATGCCTTCGTGGAGTACTTTTAGGGAAACTGGCTTGCGTATACACGTTACCCATAGCATATCAGGAAGGAATGTTATCAGTGTATCCGACTTTTCATTTCTGCCAAATTGTTTAGATTATCCCCTAAACAGTGCTTTTGAGATAACCTCTAGCAACTTCCTCAGAGTTGAGGTCTGGTGATACGAGGGGAATGTTGGCCTATAAGAAGCCATTCGTGAAATGTCCTAAGTCTATGCGACACCTCCCTTGAGGTGGTGCCCAGCCCTGCATAAACTCGTAGTATCTTAAAATGCCCGTTACTGCAGTTCATGTATCACGAAACATTTTTAATATTTTGCCCTCTAAGTGCAATCGCAGTGCCAGCTGTTCGACTGGCTCTTCAGAAAAAATGGTTCCGTGTATAAACTAGCTGTCATTCAACAGTACACGTGTGAATGACTGTTTGCAATCGAATGCAGTAAGAGAAGCAATGGAACTAGATAGATTAACATGAGAGATTTCTTTGCCTAAATCGAATTAAAAGCCGCTTTGAATCAGTATCTTCATGTTTTTAGTGCCGAATTCAGCTTAAAAAATTACAATTAGTGATCTGTAGAAACGATTTCCAGATTGTACGCACTTGTGAGAGTGATTTGCGATCTAAAACATTTTCTAATCGCTAATTTCTGGTTTGCATGACAATTCTCACTTACCAGGGATGGCGCACTTCGACTTTATCGAATTTAAAAACGTCTTTAAGGTAAGTTGCCTACTTCACAAAGACTTAAGGCTATACGACACATATTAAACCCGTTTAACAAAAGGTTAATTAATTCGACCCATATTTTTGTTTTAACAGTCTTGCATACAGCGCCATTCCCCCCCTTGTGGGTGAGGTTTCTAACTTCCTTTTTTTCGCGACAATAAATTTCCCATTACTCCTTACAACACGATTCCAATTGTGATAACGTTGATCCAGTAATTTTTTCCTTTTATACCGTTTCAATATGGAACTTTAAATTATAACCACTCTGTATATTTTAAATTTTAATGTGAAGCGATGCTTCAATTATTTTTCGCTTTTATGGAAAATAAAATCGAAGGCAATATACAATATACTATATGATCAAAACTGAAAACATTTCCCCTCCCTATTCCGCAAATAAATATTAAATTTCGAGCTTGAAATTTATGGGTTATCGAATTTTAATTTTCCGACAAGTCTAGTTCCGACACAATTCCGTCAAAATTCCGAATTACTTAAGCAAAGTAAGAGAGTTAGTATATATTCACTTCTGTTAAAAAGGTAATCAGAGTAAAAATGATTATAAATTTACGCGCTGATGTAGCTTTTTGTCTGACTGCACAACATGTACTGGAATATAAGGTTTGTAGAGATCTGGTTTGACATGCCTCTAAAGGAGATGTCATCTTAATTTTGTCTTTTCAATGTCAAAAAACGTTCCTTTGAGAGCAACTTTAGTTGTTGGGAAAAAAAATCCAAAAAACAAATTTGAAGAACATCAGGACGATTGAGTACACATACTGTTTGTTTCCGGAACACCGGGTGGCCGACTGGGTATTGAATAAATGAAAAGATGCATTGTCATGCCAATACAAAACTTTGGCAAGATAACGTTTTCTGGCTGATAACGTAATATTAAAATTCATCTGCTTAATTTCACATCCATTACAATTTACCTACTCTGGCAATTTCAGAATCGTTGTGATCCTGAGCTTGTATACAACCCTAATTATCCTGATTTAAAAACCTTCTTACTCTTCCTAAACTTCCTTCTTTAGCTCAATTCCAAGGAATAATTAATGATAAATTATTGGTCCCACGAAATTGAATATCATTTGCACTAGTACGACTTTGGTAGTTTACTAACGAGTTAACAAAACTTAAATTCTGGCTTTTTTGTGTCTAAGATACAAAAATACTGTTTAAATATTTACAAATAAAATATTAAATGGGGAGATTTAATTGGAGCCCCCACCTCATAGTTTGCCTAGCATTTGAAAAAAAAAAAAGATTGTTAAATCTAATTGTTTGCTGCTCAGTCGAACCCAGCTGCATGGTTGGTTTTCGTATTAGTTTTTTTTTTAGGTTTCTCTTTACAAAATTCTCTATGAAGCATCTTAATCAAAATGCTCCCATGTTCTTTCTATGTTCCAAATACCAACTAACGTAGTTTTAAAAGCGCGATTTCCAAGTGCAGTTACTAGTAAAATCCGAATACTCATTAAAATCATGTAGCTAGCATCGGGGTAACGTGAAAGATACGGCGCCAATAATTGAAATGTTGTTACGGTACGCTGTTTCTAACTAGATGGTCATTCCCTTATTAATAGCCCCCAACGGCCGAGCGGTAAGGACGCTGAACACTGTAGTTCAGTACGAGGTTCGAATCCCGCAAACAGGCTGACCCGCTGGCGGTTTTCGTGTTTCCCCATGTGTACGTGTATACGAGCCATTTTTTCCCTTAGAAAGTCCTCCACGAAGGCATCCCTTCCCTTTAGGCAGATACCCTCTTGTGCTTTGCATATTAAATAATCCAATCCAATCCTTAATTAATATAATTGATTTGTATTTCTACTAAACTGACGGTAAGAATTGAAATGGAAATAGTACATCGTCTGCATCTTGAGTAATATAAATATTAAAAATATTTGCATAGAAAAATGTTTGCATTCAGACAGAAGTTTTTTGAAATATTGCAAATTACTTTAATAAGGATTTATTAAGTAACCGTATAATTTACTTATTAATATTACTGATATTAGGATGAGTTCTTTCCAATTACATTCTAAATTAGAATTTTAAGATATATAAATACGCTACGCCCAAAAATACATTTTAGGAAAAAAAATGAGTTGTTTTTATATTTTAACTTCTTAATTCATTTAGTAAACCTCGTCCTCGTGTTTATTGAATCGCAGAAGTTGGTGTCGTTTATAATGATTCTTACTTGTCCACGATCCTGCTGACTTATCCAGCCATTAAATTAGCTGCATATCATTTCTACATAACTCATATTGAACTTCCTTAATTCAGTCTCTAGAGGATGTATGTTTATATCATAATTTGACTTGATTGAAAAAAGGATTCTTCTAAATTTATGTTTCTATAAAATATATTGTGCTTTTAAAAATATGGGATATGTATCACCGCTCGTTCAGCCACTTCAAATCAGCATTTGTTAGAATACATATGCATTTAATGTCATAAATGCAAATAAATACAAACGACAAATTCTCAGTTTAGACAATTCGATTTAAAAACTAAAAATAAGTAAAGTAGCAGCCGATAAACGCCACGGTAAAAATTTCTCTTACAAAAACTTACTATTAAATTTTTTTACAAAAGAAAAGATATGAGAGAAATTTAAAAAAATAGTTTAAAAATTTGAATAATATCAATCTATAATTTAAAAATAGCCTTCATATAGTATTAATAATATTTTATTAACGCATCATAGGAACAATGTCATATGATTAATTCTCGTAAACTTTTACTTGAAGTTTTAAGTTAAAAATAGCTGTGCATTTCGTGTACCAAAATCCATAGACCACATTGGCGTTATTATCGCTCAAAAAAGTGCCAAATTTCAAAAACGGTGCGAAATTCTGTAAATTCGTGTATACTTTAGAAATTTTAATAAAAAAGTCTAATTTTTTTGCAGATCATCTTAAAATACCCTACTTTAAGATGATTGTAAATTTTTATAGTTATAATTTAAATTTTTTTTCGAAAAATCTATAGAAATTATTTTAAAGATAGAAATTTCAAAAATAAAACCAAAAATGAGTAAATTTTATTTGGAAATTGAACCAACATTTTCGAAATGCGAGAGAAAAAAAAAATCAAAAAAGTTAATAAAACAAAGAGATCATTAATACATATTTGCCAATTCATTAACCTTGAGGAGCAACTTTGGAGCTATAATTTTAAAAACTTTCGTAACAATTTTTCCAAACTGGTATTTTGGCATCAATTGAGTCGTAGAATCGAAATATGTAAAAAAAAATGGTATGGTTATTTCAGAAAAAGTCCTTTTTGGGTCAAAATACCTATGTTGAATAGTGCTATAATAAATCTAATATATATCCTAAGTCGCGCTTTTCGAGACATGAAAACGCGTTTGAATTTTGTCAATCGGCCCAGTGCACGGAGATATAGCACGTCCCCCCATTTTTTTTTTTTTTTTTTTTTTTTTTTTTTTTTTTTTTTTTTGCGCTGTACATAGATTTCTATGAAAAAAAAAATATTTCACTTAATGAAGGGTTTGCATTGCAGGTAAGATTCGAAAACAAATTATACTTGTTAAATGAAGTTCCACTGTATTTTCTAACTCTGTTGTCTTCTCTACTGTGTATTATTTGAAATGCATCATGTACATCTGCAGTTTTACTCACCATAATATTTCCTATATTTTAGGAAGACGTAACTCTGAGGTGTAATAATGTTTCGCCTCGTTTGACAGCAACTCTTATCAACCAGATTTTGGTTTATCTCCCAGAGGGAAACAAAGAACAGAAATTAGCTATGTCACTGAAAGATGCTTTAGAGGACTTAATTAAAATAACTGAAGTCACTTCTTGATAGCTATAGAAATTTTGCTCTTCAAAATCAAAATAATAATTTGATATGATCAAAAAAAAAAGAGTTTATTTATATCCAGTGTTGTCCTTGATATGTAGGCCAATATTTTCTCTGCATTCCTTAATTTCATGTTTTAGTTTAAATTCAAAGTTTTCTACATAGCACTTGGATAAAATTTTCAGGGGTACTTGCATATTAATGCAGTCACCTTAGTACAATTTGTCAGTTTTTTGCAGATAAAAAGGTCAAAGTTACATATTGTGGGGTGCAGTCGATGTGTTTTCGACACTTTTTTTTAAAAAACTTCTCTTAAGTATCAATATTTATCCTGAGTTGTGGAGTATTGTTGTCATATGAAAAGGAAATATAATTTAGCAATTTCAAATAGAGATTTTAATTATCAAATAAGAATTACATGGTGCATTTAAAAAATAAAGCACTTGCGTTCTTCATCAAATCTTTCTATAATTTTTGGGGGTATTTTTCTCCCAGTCATTCCTTTTAAATATTATGTTGCAAAATTCTGTATTATAGCAGAAATTTTAACACAGCTTCTTTCATTGTAGGCAAATATTACAAGCACATATTTTAAAATTAAGGTCAAGGCCGAAAATATCATAGTTTGTTTAAAAAGGCCTTTGGAATACAACAAAAAGAACACGTAGAAAAAAATCATTGTTGCTTGATTGAAGGATTGTTATGAGCATGTTTGTCTAAAGAATGATTATGCTCATGGTTGCCAGAGTTTAGCACATTCTGAAAATCTGGGGACTTCTACTAAGATGGTTGCAATAACACTTAAATACCTTTTTAGATTAGATCTTTGTATTAGTTCAAGTATGTTAATATATGTCATTTCAAATTCCTTTTGGAATTGGGGTTTATTTTCTAAAATTACAAGTGCCAGGGGTCAAGCCATCAGAAAGGTGAGAAAGAATGAATATATAAAATAGTAAAGAAATAAACCTATATATATATTTACTTATTGCTTTTATATATATATAATATATTATATTTTACTTATTGCTTTAATATATAATATATATATTTTACTTATTGCTTTATAGATATATTATATCTATAAAGCATAGTAAATTGAATTAATTAAGTTTAATTAATGACAAATAGTTAATAATAAAATATCCAAAATCATCTTGTTTTGGGGACTCTAGCTGGAATTTCAGTTGTACTCAAAGACTGAGAAATAAAATCATTGTTTGTACTAAGAATGATTCAGCGCTGCTGACATAATTTAGGATATATTATTTCAATTGTGTTATCATAATCTAAGACAATAAATAGTCTCAAACTGGCATCCTGCATGTGGCCCCACTAAGCGATTTTACAAATGGCAATGATAGAATTCCGTAATTAATTGCGTTGTTATATATGTTATTATTGCAAGAAATTGAGGAAACATTTAATATTGTAAGGATTTTAAATCCTATTTTACATTATTTTCATTACTAATAAAAACAAACATGAGTAATGCCCCAGAAAATCTTTAAATGTGGGAAATTCTCCTTCATTACTCATATAATCATACAGTGATAAAGACAAAGCCCTTATCTATTCTTTCTATCTTGTTTTCTTTCAGTAGCAGTCATGCACATAAGCTCAGTCCATATCTCTTAAGTCTCTAAAAATATAAGCACCATGTTTTTAAAAATATATGATTAAAATATATTCATGGGCTGCATAAAATTGCTTCAGGGGATGCATGTGGCCAGAGACCACTGCTTTAGCTTACAAAAGCATTAAATACTCACATCCTAAATTAAGAATATTTTTTAAAGTATATTTTATTTGTATCATGTATACTTTGAAAGAGTTTGTATGGATAACTGTTGTTCAATGATATTTTGCATTTTTCCTGCATTGTTGCTTATTTTTTATTCTGTATTTTAATAACTGCAGAATTTCTGTTGAAGTAGCAAATTTTTTAGTATTTTTCTCAAACTGCAAACTGTGTAATCATTAAGACCTTTTGAAATTGTAAATAATTTTTAAAAAATTACTTTAACTCTTTATCTGCTCAATTTTTGTAATCCAAATAACTTAAAAAACATTTTTATTACATATTTCAAATCTACACTTATTTGAGAGTTAAAATATGTAGCCAAATTTTGTAACCAAAATTTTTTTATATGGATTTCATACATAAGAACAGGCTTTGATAAAAGTCAGTTTTAAGAGTAATCGTATGAAGAGAAATATTCTGAAAATAAATCTTAATTAAATTATAATTTACTTTATAAAATAAAAATGTAAAGTATGTATGCTAATGAAAATATTTAATGTTTACAAAAATTACACGTAAATTTAGGAAATTTCAAAATATTGTTTCAGGCAAAGTTCTACTTCACATCCTTTGCATCTTTGTGAATTTTTTTGCAATTTGCAGTTTTTTGGGAACAACGAACAGCATACTGTCTGTGAGGTTCATTTTTATGGAATTAGGAGGTATATGACTTTCAAAATGATAAGCTGACAATCTTGAAGGTTACCGTAACTAGTTCATTTAGATGTGGATCCACGGAATATTTTATAAAAAAGAAAAAATTAAGCACCATTAATACCATGTGTTGACCAAATCATGACTGAAAATCTAAGTATTGTGAATATGCATTATCAGTGATTAAATGGGGGGGAATGAGATGCAATTTTGAAATAAAGGGAAAAAAGTGCATACTCACCCACAAAAATTGTAGGTGGGTAAATTTTGATATTTTCATATTGCCCATGGGAGTCATGGTATAATCATTCGGAAGGATTTTTTATATGTACCAATCATAACCATTTCTATATTCCTATTCATGTTATTTGTATAATTATTTACAAAGATATAAAATATGTAAGATTATATAATAGATTATTTTGAGGTATATGATGAAATATATTAATAAGAAATATGAGTTTTCATAATTTTACTATAGAATATTTTATTGCACACTCATTTTATTTATAAATTTTACATATAAAAAAATGTGTAGCAGTCATTTGTTACTGAATGCAATTTAACACATTCATGTTTGATTTTCACAAAGGGCCTAATTGTATTTACAAATTATATCAATTATACAAAGGAAGCTTATCATGTTAAACCAGAGAGTGTTTTAGAATGTAAGATAAACATGTCAATTGAAACTTAAAATGAATATTTTTAAAATTTAAACTTGTTTTGGCAAATGTTTACCTGTTTTCATGCTGTGTTAAAGAGAATGGAGCTAAAAAAATTATTGTTGTTTAATTTACAATCCTAATATGCATTAGAAAATATCATTAGAACATACTTTTAATCTGTGTTTAGTAAATTTAATAACTGCAGAATTTCTGAAGAAATAACCAATTTGTAACATTTGCTTGATATTAATTTTTTCTAATTGTGCCTTTCATGACCTTATAATCAACTCTAAAAGATAGCTACTTTTATTTACTGATGATCTGACAGCTGTCCGCCCTTTAAAAAGAATTTTCTCAAAATGGTGGAATATTTGAAATCTCATTTTGCAGGGGTGATTTGTTGATTGGAGTCTATATCAAGTATAAAACTGAGTGTTCTCTGTTATCAATTAGAAACTTATTTATGAGCATTGGAAACATTAGGGTAGCACAGACTAAATAGAGAAGCAGACACCCATTCTTCACGTTTGATTAAAGAAAAGCTGTTAGAAGACTTGATGATGTTTGTTATTCATGTTAATTATGTAAAATAATCATGTCATTGCTTTAATTAATATTCTCAGTTAGTTTTATCAGTGCTGATCAGTTAGTCTGTTTTATTATATGAACCTTCTGAAAAATATCTATATATATATATTCTATCTATATATATATAACATTTATCTTTCATTTATTTTCCATCTACAAATAAGCTTTAAATTAATGCTGGTTAATAATTCTCACTAAATTTTAAACAAAGTTGTTATCATTATATAGTATTTTATTGTTTTTATGAATAATCAGTTGATAGCCATCAGTCGCTGTACAAATTTTTTTTTTTTTTTTTTTTTTCAAATGCCCCAATATAAAAGAAATTTTTCATTAAAAGTTTTAATTAAAAAAATGAATGTTTTAATAATGTAGCATATGGCTGTGATAATCATATAGATATTAAAAATCTACATGGCAAAAATAATGTCATCGCCTATTTATGTTAACAATAAATAGTATGTTAGATCTCTAGAAATTACCAAAAAAATGTTTTCTGTAAATGTAAGGTTATGTTTGGTGACTATATACTTGTACAGTAATATAAATTTATTTGTATTTATTTTTTCTATACATTTAGAATATTTTTTCTGTATTCTAGGTATTTTAATTAATGTTATATTGATTTAGGAGTTATTTTTTCCACTTTTAATAAATTATCTGATTTTTTCCTGTAATAATAAAAAAATGGCGATCAGAGCTATTTGTGTTTGCATGTATGTGTATTATATTTTCTGTTACATTTTTCTGTGTAGAAGTGATTAAATTTTTATATAATCATTGAAGTCTACAAATTTTTAATAATATTTGAAGTAATTAATATGAAGTGATTGTTTTTTTTTTTTTTTTTCCCTTTTTCAAATGTTATCATTTTAATTTTTTTTTTTTTTTTTTTTTTTTTTTTATCCTTTGGTGCAGTTTATTTGGATTCATAAAATTTCGAGTTCTTGTTACTAAAATTTACAATGTGTAAGATTTATGTTATTTTTGTTTTCAATAGTTTTTCATAATTATGCATACCTTTAAATGTTAATTTTTTATTTTTTATAAATAATTATTTTGTATAATTGTTGCAATTTGGTGTTATAGGAATTTAAAGCCCTTTAGTATTAACAAAAAATGTAATGAAAGTTACAAATAATAATTTAATTTTATTGCACACTTATGTCATCTTTAAAACTTGGAGGTAATACTGGTTTTATATAATAATCTATAATCTCAGAGATACTACCAGATCTAGTGCATGTGCACTAATTTATGATATGCATTACTATAATTGCATGCCTACATAAATAAGTAAGAAGATCCCCCACTCCATTCTATAAGTTCCAGCACTAAACAAAACAGTGTTAAATGAGATCATCTTAACATTTAAATAATGGGGATGAGTGAATAAGTTTTGTAACTATTACTTTTTTATTGCATTAATTATAGGCTTATATATTGCTAATGTCAATCTTTATTCACAAAAAACATTATGAAAATTTTTAAAAAATCCTTTTAATTTCTATCAAAATTTAAATGATTTTGTATAAACTGATTT